GGAGAGACCCTGCTGTGCTCAGGCCTGCTGTGGGGAGAGCCCAGGGCACGCTCTGGCTCACCGGGGAGCGCGTTCAGCCCAGTTAGTTTGGGCTCCGTGCAGTGCTGGCTGCTCTGTGGGAAGCGTTGGATGGTGGCAGCCTGTCGGCGTGGTGCTGCTGGTTCTGAGAGTGCAGAACCTGAACCCCCTCCTCCTTCTCCTGGTCTCTGCACTGGGGCGCCAGCTCGCCTGGCATCAGTCCGAGCACAACTGCTGCCGTGGTGGATGCTTGCTCAGCTCCCTTGGTTTTGGGCTGACTCGAAGGGAAGGGCATGTTGCTTCTTCCTGGCACGGTGGGGTGAGGCGCAGTTTGTGCCCAGGGGCGGGGGGCGTTCCTGGCTGCTGTGCTCCCGAGGCCATCCCGCTTACAGGGGCTGTGGTGTCTGTGGAGCAATGGAATAAACCCGTCCCCAGGCTGAGGGTGCCGAACCAGCGCGTTTGAAAACATCCAAATGTCCCTTCGGAAGTGCCGCGAGTGGGGTTTAATTGGGTGCTGTCCTGCTTGCGCTGGTCCCGCCTCCGACCGAATTAACGAGGGCGTCTGTCCCTTCCCCGTTGCTGCAGGAAGTACTACAAATTCATACTGACGAGGAATTTCGAAGCCCTGAATTCGAAAGGTGGTGGGAACCAGGTCTCGCTGCTCAACATCATGATGGACCTGAAGAAGTGCTGTAATCACCCGTACCTCTTCCCAGTGGCCGCCGTGGTACGTCAGCTGTGTTTGCTCCGTGGTGGGCTGTCGGTGGGGGCCGTTTCTGTGACCTTGCTTCGGTTAATGGTGTGGGTTTCCATGTGAGTGGCTTTGTACAAGAATTTTGTCTTTGAAACGCGTGTGAATTTCTCCGCAAAGCTAACGCGTGGTGTCCTGGGAGAGGCTAACCAGGGTGCCTTCACAGGAGGCCCCGGTTCTGCCCAACGGATCCTACGATGGGAATTCTTTGGTGAAATCTTCTGGGAAACTGATGCTGCTCCAAAAGATGCTGAAGAAGTTACGGGATGGGGGTCACAGAGTTCTGATCTTCTCTCAGGT